TCTGGAAAAGTGCTTTTGTACGCTTGTAAACAATATAATGAGCTGTCACTGAAATAATTTTTGCACCTGTCGGATGAGTGGCTTAGAAATGACAGAAGTCTGAATTTGGTTGCAGTTTTTTCATCTCATATGGGAGCTATATCAAATCTGAACCGATATCAATAATATTTGGCAGAGGTATTTTCGAGCAGTGCTCATGTAAAGAGTGATTTGTTAAGATCTTGATAACTTTAAAAAAAAAAAAAAAAAAAACGCATAAAATTTGCAAAATCTAATTGGTTCTTTATTTGAAACGTTAGATTGGTCCATGACATTTACTTTTGAAGATAATTTCATTTAAATGTTGACCGCGGCTGCGTCTTAGGTGGTCCATTCGGAAAGTCCAATTTTGGGCAACTTTTTCGAGCATTTCGGCCGGAATAGCCTGAATTTCTTCGGAAATGTTGTCTTCCAAAGCTGGAATAGTTGCTGGCTTATTTCTGTAGACTTTAGACTTGACGTACCCCACAAAAAATAGTCTAAAGGCGTCAAATCGCATGATCTTGGTGGCCAACTTACCGGTCCATTTCTTGAGATGAATTGTTCTCCGAAGTTTTCCCTCAAAACGACCATAGAATCGCGAGCTGTGTGGCATGTAGCGCCATCTTGTTGAAACCACATGTCAACCAAGTTTAGTTCTTCCATTTTTGGCAACAAAAAGTTTGTTAGCATCGAACGATAGCGATCGCCATTGACCGTAACGTTGCGTCCAACAGCATCTTTGAAAAAATACGGTCCAATGATTCCACCAGCGTACAAACCACACCAAACAGTGCATTTTTCGGGATGCATGGGCAGTTCTTGAACGGCTTCTGGTTGCTCTTCACTCCAAATGCGGCAATTTTGCTTATTTACGCAGCCATTCAACCAGAAATGAGCCTCATCGCTGAACAAAATTTGTCGATAAAAAAGCGGATTTTCTGCCAACTTTTCTAGGGCCCATTCACTGAAAATTCGACGTTGTGGCAGGTGGTTCGGCTTCAGTTCTTGCACGAGCTGTATTTTATACGGTTTTACACCAAGATCTTTGCGTAAAATCTTCCATGTGGTCGAATAACACAAACCCAATTGCTGCGAACGGCGACGAATCGACATTTCACGGTCTTCAGCAACACTCTCAGAAACAGACGCAATATTCTCTCCTGTACGCACTGTACGCATTCGTGTGGTTGTTTTAATGTCCAATAAAGTAAACTGAGTGCGAAACTTGGTCACAATCGCATTTATTGTTTGCTCACTTGGTCGATTTTGTAGACCATAAATCGGACGTAAAGCGCGCAACACATTTCGAACCGAACACTGATTTTGGTAATAAAATTCAATGATTTGCAAGCGTTGCTCGTTAGTAAGTCTATTCATGATGAAATGTCAAAGCATACTGAGCATCTTTCTCTTTGACACCATGTCTGCAATCCCACGTGATCTGTCAAATACTAATGCATGAAAATCCTAACCTCAAAAAAATCACCCTCAGCTGTAGCTCTATCTGAACCGGTTTTCACCAAAATTTGAAGGAATTGTTTTTAGGCTGAGATCCTGAAGTACAAAAATGCATTCCAATTGGGCTGATATTAGCAATTTGGTGCAAAAAAAACCTGAAATCGGATAAAGAAATCCAAATCTGAACCGATATTGACAGGATTATAAACACTTATTTCTGAGCTGTATCTAATAATAGGTACTGTTAACTTCTTGATCGCCTTCACTAGAATGGCGTCTTCTTTATTCTTTCATCATCATTCGTTTTTCGTTACATTTGAATCTTATGATCTAGTTGATAGTCGGTAATCATATTCATAGTTGTATTTTGACAATGATGTCATTCTAAACAAATCTACTACAGCTCGGCCAACCTGACGGTTGTGACCGACCCGGTCACCTACTAATTATACTACTTACATTCTACTATATACAATATAATACAATACTGGTAAGAGCAGCCCTAGGTGCCCCTACCCGAGTCTTCAGATTTCCAACGCCTTATATTACAGGCTTCAATTACTCCATCATAAGGTATTTGTGTGATCTGGCAATTTTCAATATCTTTTATTACGTATCGGTCATTCGGAAGTACTTTACTCACTACATAAGCCCCTTTATATTTCGGCACTAACTTCTTATTAGTTCCTATCGTAGTATCCACATTCCGTATCACTACAAAGTCACCTGCTTTAAATGAATTTACCACAGCCCCTTTTGCCTTAGAACGTTGCTCGCTATATGCTTGCGACCTTGCAGTTGCAGCCTCTGCCTTGTCTCTTATGTCCTGAATACCCTTCCCCGGGTCCAAAAAGTTCTCCTCTAGGTATTCTGTTAACTTATCTGTTACCTCCCCTCTTTGATTTACTCCAAACAAAAACCATACTTGGCGTATCTCCAATCGATCTATTCACTGTATTATTAAATGCAAATTCCACCTTGCTTAAATGTTTGACCCAGTCCGCGTGTGTTACCGGTTCACTGAGTTTTGCTAACATTCCCACCAATGTCCTATTCACTCGTTCAACTTGACTGTTTGCCTGAGGTGAATGCACGGCTACCTTGACCTGGTCTATATTTCTTTCTGTCAGATACTCTATAAATTCTTTTGACGTGAAGCAACTTCCCCGATCCGTAATACACCTGACTGGTCTACTATAATAATCAAAATATTTCGACAGTGCTGCCTTGACTTCCTTGGTGCTTGTTGTAAGGACAGGATACAATCTTACAAATTTTGTAAACGCATCTATTACAACTAAGATATGTTTACGTTTCGACTGTAATGAAGGTAATGGGCCTAAATGATCCAAATGAATTGTATGAAAAGGTTTAGGTTCTTTTGGAATACTATGTAGTGTCCTCGCATTGGGTCTCTGGGGAGCAGAATACATAATACACTTCAAACAATTTTTCCGATATCTCTCTATCTTTTTCTTCATGTCAGGAAACCAATAATTGTCTCTCATTTTTAAATAACACTTGTCAACACCCATATGCCCTATCTTCTCGTGAACATTCCTAATTACCTCGGTCTCCATCTCCCTCGGAACGTAAAATCGTAAACCATCATTACCGCTTTTATAAACTACACCATTCACCATATCGTAACCATCCACGGTTCCCTCCTCTAATTTTAGTTTCAATTCACTAATGTCTTTATCTCTACTCTGTGTTGCACAAAGCTGGAAGTCAATGTCTTCAGCCTCAATTGTTGCGACCATATTATTAAAATCGTGATCTACTCTTGATAGGGCGTCCACATGGTTCATTCTCGATCCTGGTCTATGTACAATATTATAACTATAATTCTCAAGTTCTAGTGCCCACCTTGCAATTCGGCTGTTAACGTTCCTTTTGGCCAATGTCAGAGTAAGTGAATTGCAATCTGTGACAATTTTGAACTGGATTCACTCTAAATAGGCCCTAAACCTTCTTAAAAAATATATGATGGCTAATGTTTCTAACTCAAAACTGTGGTAAAGTGTCTCGGCTACTGTTGTCCTTTTTGAAAAATACGCAATTGGGTGAAACAGACCGTCTTCCTGTTTTTGCATTAGGATAGAACCAAAACCCGCAGCGCTTGCATCACAGTGCAGTTCTGTTTCTCTTCGAGGGCTATAAATCGCCAACACAGGGCTAGAAGTCAAATAGCCTTTAAGTATCGAAAGCTTGCCTACATTGGTTCGAAAACACATATTCCACATTTTCCTTTGTGAGATCATACAATGGCTTTGCTATTAGGGAAAATCCATTGACAAATTTTCTAAAATAAGAGCAGAGACCTACAAATGCTTGCATTTCCTTCCTATTCCTTGGCTCTGGATACGTCTTAATAGCTTCTATATGTCCTTCCGAAGGTTCAATCCCGTGATTGGATACCTTATAACCTAAGTATTCTATCTCCGAGTACGCAAATTTGCATTTTTGCATCTTAAGTTTCAATCCGTACGTGGCTAGGCGGTCTAAAATTTTTTCTAACAGTATTATGTGCTCTTCTAAGGTTTTCGACGCGACCACTATGTCATCCATGTAAATCACTATATCATTTCTGTCCAAGAAATCTCTAAAAAATCCAGCAATAAATCGCTGAAATATAGCCGGTCCATTTTTTAAGCCAAAAGGCAGTCTTAAAAACTCGTATTGTCCATTCGGAACTACAAATGAAGTGTATTTTACGGAATTCTCTTCCAGTCTGACCTGGTAAAATCCAGACTTCAGGTCCATTATTGAAAACCACGACTTTCCTTCCAAATGCTCCAAACAATCCTCTATTAGTGGAATAGGATAATTATCCCTAACTATAATCTTATTCAATGCTCTATAATCAATGCACATTCTCCTTTCTCCATTTTTCTTCTTCGTTAAAACTATAGGGGATGCATACGGAGAATTACTGTGCCGTATAATTCCCTTTTCCAGCAAATCTGAAATTATTTTATTGACTTCTTGCTTCTCTGCAAAAGATAATCTCCTAGGTGCGCAATAAGTGGTATTGCCAGAATTCACCAAAATAGATGCCTTGAAATCAGAAGATTCTGGGTTTGCTCCCAATTTTTGAAAATAATTCCTGTAAATTATTGTACGAATTTTGTCACTCATCTGCAATCCTACCCTATGGTTAATGTCCACATCTTCCCTTTCGTCTTGAACCTCAATATTACAAATTGTCTGGAACGCATCATGTATCTCTTTATTTTTCCCCTCATGTAACCCCGAATAAGCATCACACACATTTGTTTCCATTTCATACTTTATTTCTGTCGGTTCTGCGTTTAATTCATTTTTTAGATCCGAACACGAAAATAATGTACAACAATTATTACCGGCATTTTTTATCAATTCATTGGGATCCGGCTTCCCGTTTTTAAAACATAAAACTATTGAAAATAAATCTAAAAAATCTCTGCCTAGCACCAAGTCGCAAGGCGAATTAATCAAAATATTTAAATTCACTTTTTTCATTTGTCCAGCAAATTCAATATAAACAGGCATTCTGCCAAAAGTCTTCAAATTCGTCCCGTCCAGCCCTTTATATTCAGAAATTCTTCCCTCAGCAATTCTCACGTTCGGCCACAACGATTGAATAACCGCTCTCTTAACAAAGCTACACGGACTGCCAGTATCAAGTAAGGAATTTATAAAACAAAAATTAGACTCAGATAGTTGGGGACCTAGAGCTACTCTTACCTTTAAATTCCAGTTAACAGCTTGATCCGGAACGGCAGCAACTGCTCTCAGGGGGCATTGTGTCCTTAGATGCCCGAACTTTCCACATTTGAAACAGGACCCGTGTTGCCGCTTTTCTCTCGTGCAACTTGATGCATAGTGGCCATACTCCGAACAGTTATAACAGCGCACCGTGGTCAAAGTTGTCGTTTGGTTCTCGCTTGTGGTTTTATTAATTTTCCTGCCATCCAATATTTTTTCATACCTGGGAATTAAATTTTTTAGCTCGGCCACAGTCTTCGCAGGGTAAAAGATAGAAATAGCGGATGTTTTGTCCCTTAGCCCCTCAAGGATACATTCGACCAACTCCGCTTCACTTATTGGGGCGTCATCAGCAATTTGTTGCATTATTAACACATAGCTGTGTAGTTTTTCCAAATTTTTATTCCACACACGATTTTCTAATCTCTTAAAAATTTCCTTTGTGCCGATTAATTTCTTGAACTCATTACACAAATCTTGCTTAAAACTGTCCCAGTTATTTGCGTTTGAGTTGCGCATAAATAGGCATGCACTACCCGCCATCATGCGGCGTGCGAACAAAAACTTTTCTGCAGCAGTGCAGCCTACTATGTTGGTGACGCGCTCAAATTCCTTTACCCATTTTGTAACGGCATAATCGTCATCGCCTGTAAATTTGGGAAGCACACCTTCAACATCTCCAAAATTTGCTGCAGCTTTTAATTTTGGCTCCTCCAGCTCAGCTATCTGCTTTTGCAACTTCAATATTTTTAATTTTGATTCGAGTGGTCTTTCCAGTTGTTGAGTGTCGGTTTCTTCTGCTTCCGTTTGGGTCTCTGCTAGCGCTGTCGACTTACTGGCTTGAGGCGACGGCACGCTTGCCCCAACGACATCACGGAGCAACTCCCTTAGCTGTGATATGGTGGCAGTGTCTGGGAAACTAATTCCCAATTCTTGCAGCTGAGCCATAATTTCCTCCCGTACCATGTTGTCTTTTTCGTTTTTTCACAAAGCTTTTCTTTTAGGTTGAGTCTGTTTTATTTCCTTAAGCTTGTTTTATTTTCTTAAGTTTGTTTTATTTTCAAGTTATTCTTAAGTTTTAATTAATTTCGTAAGTTTTATTTTCTCAGAAATGGTTTAAGAATTAAACTTTTCTTATTAAACTTTTGTTGAGCGTCCTTTTCAAAGAGCGTTGTTCGTCCACACCTGAGTTGTTAACTTCTTGATCGCCTTCACTAGAATGGCGTCTTCTTTATTCTTTCATCATCATTCGTTTTTCGTTACATTTGAATCTTATGATCTAGTTGATAGTCGGTAATCATATTCATAGTTGTATTTTGACAATGATGTCATTCTAAACAAATCTACTACAGTACCAAAGATTGTTGTGGAGTGCAGATTACACATGAGAGGGATTTAAAACCCCAAATCTGTAGAAACATGTATATGGGAGTTATAGCCATATCTGTGCCGATTTTCAACAAAATTTGAAGTACTTGCTTCAACATTCAGTCCATTTGGGTTGATATTAACCATTTCCTGCACAAGAAAATATATGGAAGCTATATCTTAACCTGATCCGATCTCGGTAAAATTTAACAGGGGAATTTTGGAGCTCCATAAGTTATCTGGCACAAAATATCATTCTTGTGGAGTGCATATTACGCATGTGAGGGACTATATGTGAGCTGAACCGATTTTCACCAAATTTAATATACTTGCTTTTAGACTGAATTCGGTTGGATGGGCCAAAACTCAGGCCAATTGGTGCAAAATAAACCCGAAATCGGTTGAGCTATATCCAAATCTAAACCGAACCTGACAATATTAGAAACACTTATTTCCGAGCTATATCTCATATCTGGTACCAAATATCATTCTTGCATATTACGCATGGGAGGGTTTTAAAACCCCAAATCTGATGAAACATATATATGGGAGCTATAGCTATATCTGAACCGATTTGATCTACTTGCTTCTAGACTGAATTTGGTCGGTTGGGCCAAAATTGAGATCATTTGGACTGATATTGGCCATTTGGCGCACAATTAACCCAAAATCGGTTGAAGATATATATGTCAGCTACATCTATATTTGAACCGATTCTCACCAATTTCAATAGGATTCGTTCTTGGTCCAAACATACATAGTTTGGAAAATTTCATCTCAATCGGATAATAAATGCGATCTGCATTTTGTTCATAAAAATACATGGACAGGACGCACGCCATTGTTACCTTAACAAAGTTAGTGGTAAATTGTTCGAATTCTTTGTCACACCCGTCGAAATAGCTGTAATTTGTCTTCTCCGCAACAATGTGTTTCTCGTGGATGTCTCGGTGTTATTCAATAATGTATAGAAAACAAATTACTTAAGGAAAGTGGCTGTTTTTCAATGTCTCTCATGGCTGTAATTTCGCCATTGTTGTTGTTGGCATGTTAACCAGGAATTTTGGGGTTTTTAAGGTATTTTGCACTTCTTTGAAAATGTTTTCCCTTCGTGGTACTTAAATGTTCAAAAACAACACATGTTTACAATTTATTTTCGCCAAGATAAATCAATTTACCCCAACATGCACAAACACACAGACACACACACTTATAGAGAGACAAACATTTGCCACAACACCGACATTTATTTAGAATTCCAAGGCACCCCCTCCGCCTTATCAGCACATTAACCCACTCGTTGATGTAGAGTCATTAGATTCGTATTTAACCTTTAGAGGCAAAACATATTTCAATGTCTTAATTCGGGTGTTTGGGTGTTGGTACTGACGTGAGTAAATAAATTGTCACTTTTCCAAGGAATTCCTTAAGAGCTTGGCATATTTATGGGACAAGAAATTCCAAGGAATGTTGGCATTCAAAAAGGGGACTTTTATGAAATTTTTGCAAGAGTAGGCACAAATAAAGGGCAAATATTGAAATGTGCTCCTTAATCTTAAAGGGGATATTATTAATGAATAAATTTTAGCCTCTAGCCTTAACTTGAAAATGGTGAAAACGTGTCATTACATAGTTGGACAAACTACACTTAATTTTGAAAGGGTTAGCACACCAAAGTCTCCTATTTTTTTCTATTGAAAAACAAGTTAAAAAGCTGTGCAGGACCGGCCGAACTTGAACACCCTCCACCATTTGGAGTGAATTTGGCAATTTTCAAAAATATAAAATCCGTTAAAAATTCTGTTATAATCTTAAAAATACCGAAAGTAAGCGTTATATAAAGGTTTATACGAAGACGTGGACCTACATAGGAAACTTTAATCATAAGTCATAAGCCCCTTATTTGAGGGCTAATCGAAGACATGGACCTGCACAGACAATTTTCTGTCATAGGCTGTAATAACCATTGCGAAAAATTGAAACAATTCCGGTGAATAATATCGCTAAAATCATAGAAATACTGAATATCGGCAGTTACCGTTATATGAGGTCTATACGAAGACCTGGACCTGCACAGACAATTTTCTGCCATATGCTGTAGTATTCATTACGAACTTCAAATGCCAAATTTGAAACAATTTCGGTGCATAATGTCGCCAAAATCATCAAAATACCGAATATCGATAAGTACCGTTATATGAAGGCTATACGAGGACGTGGACATGCACAGACAAGTTTCTGTCTTAGGCTGTAGTATCCACTACGAACTTCAAATACTAAATTTGAAACAATTCCGGCGTATAGTGTCGCTAAAATCATAAAAATACCGAATATCGGGAGGTGCCGTTATAGGGGCTATACCAAAACGTGGACCTACATGGCCAATAGTCCTGCAGACATAATATAAATTTGAGTAAAATTTTATCAGCCTACTGAATTTCGTTTGGAACCTAGAACGATTTCCACAGACTGACAGACGTACGGACATCCACATAGAATTTTATGCTAATCAAGAATATATATTCTATGTGGGGTCTAAAATGTATATTTCGAGGTGTTACAAACGGAATGACAATCTTTATATACCCTCCATACTATAGTGGAGGGTATAAAAAATAGGACCCAGAATTTTTTTTAATAGAAAAAAGTTTAACAGTAACTCTGTTGGTTTTGCAGATAGAGCCTAGCCTTGCGTCTGATTACTCAAATTACTTGATTTTTACGGGGGAGGTTCCGATGAAGTGAGCCAATATTATCCATTTCGTATAATACCAGATTTGGGCACTTTCGACTACTTTCTTCAAGCCAATTTGTGAACATTTTAAAATATGCGTGAGGTACAACATTAGGAGACAGAAGTATTAAACTTTATCGAAAAAAGAATTCGAACATTAATTTTCAATTTTATGCGAATAAATGAAAATCAAACTATTCTACTTTTGAGAAGATGGTACCACAAGGAATTATTCACATCAGATCACTGATTGAGAGAGATATTTAGAAATATAAAGTTTTCATAAATACTGCCAATTGTGAACCTAGCAGAAAGAATGGGCCGATAACGGCAAGGTACCTTGTTAATATAAATATTAGGATGCATGGAATTTGAATAGAATCGGGTGCATACATCGCATTTTCTGAGAGATATAATTATTCAAAAGTTTGACCCGTTGCGGAGGAGGGGTACCGGAAGATGTAGTCCGATATGTATCATCTTCATACCATATCTTGTGTTGTTAAATATTGGGATGTGTGAAATTTTAAGACCATGAGATTATTAATTTTACATGTTATAAGCGAGACTATTATTCAAAATGTTGATCTTTGTGGGGGAAGTACCTGATGGAATCAACCGACATAACCCATCTCCGCACTACATCTTATATTGATAAAAAATATTGAGATATGTCAAATTTGAAGGCTATCGGATATTTATTTCACATTTTATAAGAGCTACAATTTTTCAAAATACTTACCCTTTGTATGGGAGGTACGTGATGGAGTAGCCCTATATTGTCCATTTCGCACTTGACCCAACACTGATAAAATTGTATTAAGATTTGCATAACTTACTCAAAATTTGGCGATATTTTCTTATTATATAAGGTAAATTATTTATTTTTTAACTTTTTGTGGGGTAGGTACCAGAAGAAGTGGAAATAAAATATAACTCACATTTTTCGGCGTTTTGAAAATTGACATCGCAAAGTAACATAAATAGAGGGGGCTAGTTCCGCCCTCTTCTACACTTTTAGAAATTTTTGGATTAAGATTCCTTAGATTCCATGCATTTTACGTATGTACAGGGTGAGAGGGAAAAACTGCAACCACCTTCAGACTGCTATAATTTCTAAGCCACTCGTGCGACAATTGTTAAAATTATTCCAGTGACAGTTTATTATATTGTATTATATACAAGGAATGTTTTGATCGAACATTTTAGCTGAAAATCTAAATCTAGTCAAAAAAAGGCGATTTTTGGTCCTTTTTCAAATATATGATTAAAAATAAACCATGGACCAAGAAGAAGGATAGCGGAAAGCATACTTAAAAGAACGCTAAAGCCTATTTCGTCAGTAATTCTTCGCAGAAATTGTAAACTATCGAAACAGCTGTTATTCATGTTGAAAAAAAAAAAAAAAAAACTGATAAAAAACCCCCAGTATAAGTTATCCAAAGCGTTGGGCCCAGATGAAATCTGACAAAAGTATACAACCTGTCACCCACATCCCACTAATGAAGGCAAACAAGGATGCTATTGCAGGTGAAGCATACAGGCCGATTTTTCTTTTGTCGACAGTAGCAAAGACTCTTGGGGAAGCTATTCATCAACACGAATTCCGACCACAACATAGTACAACAGCATAGCATGTCATATCCACACAAATCAGTCGAGGATAAAACCAGAACGTTCGATACAGTCAAGCACGCCACACTCTATGAGGATGTAGATATAACTACCCTACTCTATATGGAGTGCCCGAACAAGAAGTCCAAGCCTTGTGGAGGAAAACAAAGAGTTCTTCAAGGTTGAGTAATATTTCCGGAATTGTTTAAACTCTACCATCCATCGCCCTCTAGATTGGATAGTGATCATAGGGTATGCGGATTATTGCACGTTCATGGCGTTGTTGACGACATATGTGTAAGGTTTAACACCTGTCTCGCGGAGCTCACCGCCTACTTCTACGCGAGAAATATGAAAATATCCACCACTAAATCAACGGCCAAAATCTTTATCATATGGTCTGCTGGGATGAGAACAGAGCTGAATGTGCAGGTCCAAAAAATTTAATTCCAACCACAAACTGCCCCAATTTCACGCAAGTCACAGCTATCTGCGACACAATAAAAAGTAGGAACAAGGTTTTTAATGCGCTAGCCGGCAGCACTTGGCTTGCGGACAAGAAGACCTTGTTGACCTATTGTATAACTCGGTCTGTGGACATCTATGCGTCCCCAGTGTGGTCTGCG